GTGGGATGGGCGGGGGCGGGGGTGCTATCACGGACAGACGGGCAGTCAGCGTGCACTACTCTACTACCCCCGCGCCATCAAAGACTCTCGCTCTCCGTCCCGACCTCTTCCCTGCTCTACTCACCATCCTCGAGCGTCGTGGCAGACTTGGAGTTGGAGGGCTGTCCGGTGAGCCCCCTGTAGAAGGGCACGGCGAAGAACGTGTAGGTGGTGTAGGGCCGCAGCGAGATGACGAGGAAGCCCGACGCCTTGCCGGCCTGCAGCACTGTCACCGAGCCCGGACCGCCCAAAGCGCGCGGCGCCGTCGTCCTGGAGGTGGACGTCCTGGTGGACGCCCCGCCGCGGACGTCGGCCTCCGCCTTGTCCTCGGCGCCCGCCGACGCCTCGCCATCGGACGGCACGTATCCGACGTCGCGCGTGAGGTCCGGGCCGACGTGCCCCTCGTCCTCCAGGACGGGCCGCCAGTGGAGCACCAGCCCCTCGACGTGCGCGGGGCTCAGGATCTGCAACACAGCAAGCAGGGAGGGTCGTCATGAAGGAGCAGGCAGGGGACAATACACTGCCGACCGGACCGCGCGCGCTGTTCCTAAAACAAACAGCGGCTACTTTCCGATTCCAGGCACGACAACATCGGTCCACCGCCTCCGACTCAAACTCCGCGCCCATCCACAAACTCGGAGCAGCGGCCGAGCCGGGGGGTGCGCGTGGCAGTGGAGAGGGAGGGGGGGGGGGAATGATCACGACTTCCATAACCCCTCCAGCCTTCCACCGGTCAGCCGCGAGGGGGGCCTGAGCCTTACCGCCGGGTACCATATGTGCGCCGGCCGCCCAGACCGAACCAACATCGCCGAATGTAAAAACTTTATGACCCACCCGTCTGGCGCGGCGCTGCTACCTCCCCTCAGTGCCACTCCCCCCCCCCTCCTCGCCCCTCCTTTACGCTGTCTCCTTCGCTTGAACGGCCGAGTGGTCAAACTTGTGGTATAAATTACTTTCCGCGTGCCAAAGCCCCCGTCGCAGTTCAGTTTGGCCTTCTGTTCCAAAAGCGCCCCTCCCCCCTTTCCCTTCTCCTACCGTTGGCTGGACCCGCCCCTTATCAGATAACTATTACTGCGGGTTGGAAACTCATTCCGAAGTTTTTATGGTCCACCCTTCTTGTTCGCTGACCGCTCGCTCGCCCGCTGGCTGTGGCTGCGGCCCGCCGTATAGCGCGGCTCCGGCGGCCCGGCTATCCGAGGGCTGAGATAGCCCCACCCCCGCCCCACCCACCCCGCCCCACCGCGTTACGCCCCGCCCGGCCCCACCGCGGACCTCCTGCCGCGTCTGGTATCGGATCCGGATGATTGGGCGGCTCTCATCCGCGCAGAGTTACTCCTCCGGATCAAAGGTGAGTCCGAACCGCCCCCGGGGAGGAGGCGCGGCGGCGGCGGTCGAGGCAATGAGGCAAAGACAAGGCGGGGCGGGAGACACAGGAGGAGGGGGTGACGGCCGTGGATTACTGACGCTCCCCCGCAACATCACAGCCGGCGGTGGCCTGACCTCTCCCCCTCCCCATCCCACTCCTACTCCTTCCCCAACCTCCTCCCTCCTTGGCGCCACCGCAGAGTCGCGTGGCCCCATTCGTGCGTATTCAGAGCCCCCCGCCATCCCACCCGTCCCAATGCTGTGGTTAGATGTGTGTGTGTGTGTGTGAACGCGCCACGCAACGTCACATGAGGGAGGGGAGCGTGTGTGTCCAAACACGAGATAGACGAGGCCAAGACTAGCGCGCGCACACACGCACACAGACACACACACTAGCGCAAAGCCGCGGGTAGTGTAGGGGGTGAGCAGGGAAGAAAGCCGCGGGGCGAAAAAGAGAGAGACTATACGGACGACGGTGATAAAAAGACACGCGAACGAGAAAGCAGCAGAGCCGTTGTCCGCTAGGGGGCCTCATTTAACTCCTCTCCCTCTCCTCCACCTGAATCAGCCGCAGGGCAGAGTGCCTCGCCCGCTGCTATGGCGCCGCTGTGTCTCGCGCGTTATGTTGCGTTATCGCTAACCTTATTTCCCTGCTTACTTTTACACGCCGGAGGAAACGAGCCGCGCCGGAGAGCCGAGCCGAGTCTTTGGTCGCCGCACAGCCGAGGCCAGGCCGCCGGGCCGAGCCGAGCCGGTAGGATTGAATCGTCCCCCCGAGACGTCTTTGCCGCGCGCGGGCAGGGATTGTGATGGCGCATGATAAACCGTGAAAGGATGGGGGCATAGTGTGTGCGCTGAGAGAGTGTGTGTGTGTGCGTGTGTGCTGAGTGTGTGTGTGTGTGTGTGTTCGTGTAGTAGTGAGTACACCTCAGGGCCCCCCAGAGGGGCCCCGGGGCGTCGCACCGCGCAGCAGCTCAGACTCATGCAAAACGGGGCGCACCACCAGGCCAGGGGGACCCCACCACCTTCCCGACCCACACCCTTCCCCGCCAAACCCCAGCCCCACCCACCTTACCACCGCACCCTCCTCGGAGTAGTGAGGCGGGCCCCATTTGAGCGTTTCGCAGCGTTTCGCGGGGCCATTCTCTATCGCCGCTCCAGACTGAGAGCGAGGCCCCCTCTCCTCCCTCACTACCTCCATCTCCTCACTTCAACTCCAACGCCCCCCGCGCGGCGGCGGCAAGAGAAGGAAGGCGAGCGGAAATGCGGCCCGGAAGTACGAGGCGGCGGCGAGCACCTCGGGGCGTATCGACATCGGGAGGCCGTAAAGGGGAAAAGGTTTCGGGAAAGGGTTCCGCTCGCACTCACCTCCCAGCTGAGTCGCACCGCCGTGGAGCTGTTGGGCGCCGCGTCCAGCAGGCGCACGGCCTGGTCCGACAGCAGGCTGTCGCGCGCCTCCTCCAGGTCGCCGTCGACGTCGTTGCTCGCGTCCACGCCGTTAAGCCCTGCGCCACCGTGCAGCGCCACCGGCTCTGACAGATTGGACGGCGGCGAGAGGCCGTGGCTGTTCTCGGCGCGCACCAGGAACACGTACGTGAGGCCGGGCGTCAGGCCGCGCACCGTGTGCGTGGGGCCGTTGACACGCCGCGCCGCCAGGTGCCACGCGGCCGACGAGGACGGCGTCGACGGCGCCGCCGCGGCGGCCTCCTGCTGCTCGCCGAAGGACGTCTCGCGGCCGTAGTACTCCACCTGCGGCAGCGAAAGTAAAGAACGTGATTAACGATAAGGAAAACAAGTGACATAAGTAAACATAGCGTGCGGAGGGGGGCTGTCGTCCAGTGCGACAACACACAAAAAACTGGCACGCGCCACACCTGCTGTGCCCGGCTGTGCCACGTGTCGTTAGCCACGGAGACAATGTCCTGCTTCTATTAAGAGAGCGGAAAGAAAAGCTAATCGCTGATGTAGTGTAACGAGATTACCATCAAGCTACAACAGTCTGGGTGGGGCGGCGGCGGAAAGCAAGAGCGAAGGAAGAGGGGGAAAAGGCGGGGAGAGGAGAAAAAGCAGACGTTTGTGATTCCCTCGCACACAAGCAGGAAAGGAGATGGGACACAGCCGAGTGGACAGAGGGGGCGGGCCCACCAGGCGGGCGGAACCCGGCGGCGGGCTGGGGCGGGGCGGGGAGTTGTTCCGTTTCGAAGCAACAAGAAGAATAAACCACTTGAGTAGCTTGCTGCCCCCGGCCCGCCCCCTGCCCGGCCCCACACCCAGGCCCGCCGCTCTGCTCTCCGGTCCATCGGTCTCTCCCTGGCCCGGCCCCGCGCGGCAGAATCTCTTCCCTTCAGTCGGGGCCGAGACCAAGAGTCCCGCGGCGGCGCGGCGCAGATGTCACCAGTAAAACAAAGCAGACAGTCTCTCTCTCTTTTTTTATCTTTATCTCTCTCTCTCTCTCTCTCTCTCTTACACACACTCTCTCCGTCACCCCTCTTCCCCTCTCTCAGAGGGAAATGATAAGGCCAGATAAAGTCTGCAGTAAGAATACAGCCACCCATAGCGGACCGCTGCCCAGCAACGCCGCCGCCACCCCGTTAAAATATTCTGCGGTTGGGGAGAGCCCGCGCGGAGAACAAGCGGAGTCGGCCATACTAGCAGACTGACGCCGTAGCAGAACCGCTTTCTCTACAACTTGTTTCCTAAAGCAGCGCGGGGAAATTCAAGTCGGGTTGGTTTTTCTCCGCGCTGACGGGCATAAAACACGGAGCTGCTGCGCCGCCGGGTCTCGACGAAACACATTATTCCGCTCGGTCGTCCGTCTGCCGCTGTTTTCTCTGCGGCCAGCTTAGAGCGCGCCCCGCTCGCCCTGCTTCCCCTTTCACCGCCCGTTCACTGAAAGGGGGACTTGTGCTACCTTCTGCCCAACTGTCCGTCCGTCCGTACGCCAGTCCTCCGTGAGAGGGACGGGCAGCTGGCCTGGGCCGCCGCCTCCCGCTGGGCCGGCCCTGCCCCGCTGCCCCAGCAGCTTTCCGCGCTCGCTCAAAAGCAGCAGCAGCATCTCTGTTGAGTGTTCTGCACTTGACGACCACCGCCCGGCCCGGCCGGCCGGTTCCTGGGCTGGGCGGGGTCTGTTTGTGCCGGTCGGTCGGTCGGTACCTCATTCTGTGTAAGCGCCGCGGGAGAGCTGCTGCTGCTCGCTCCTCCGCCCGGCCCAGCGCGCCCGACTGTTAGGCACGCCCGCCGCACAGGCGTGCCCGCGCATTGCCTACCCACCAGGCGTTCCCCGGCTCAGCGCGCCCAGCCGTTAGGCACGCCCGCCGCACAGCCGTGCCCGCGCATTGCCTACCTACCAGGCGTTCGCCCCGGCTCAGCGCGCCCGGCCGTTAGGCACGCCCGCCGCACAGCTGTGCCCACGCATTGCCTACCCACCAGGCGCTCGCCGCAGCGGAGCAGCGCAGCGCGACACAGAAAGACACTCCGAAACGCAGTGTACTTCTGTTGGACTTTGTTGCGCCACCGACGCCGCGCTTATCGCTACAATAACTTCTCCTTTTTTCTCGCTACTCCCAGGAATCTCCACCACCTCGCGAGCAGCTGCGCCGTGAGCCGCCCCCACTCGGCAGACTCTCACACCACTCCAGCAGCAGGGCGGCGGGGCCACCACGCGCCCCGCGCGTCACGCCGGCGGAGTGACAGGGGGAGGGGG